CTATATTTACGTCTGAGAGGATTCTAAAAACATGACAGTTCGTTCTAACAACTTGTTTTGCGTTTGACTCCAACCTTGGACCAACGTACACTTGCTCATTCAAAGGCAGAAATCAGAAAATGCATAAAAATCTGTAACAGACCTCAACATGAATTCTAACTTTGCATGAGAAAAAATCATTACACAGTTAATAAAATTGATTAGTTCACTGCAACATCTAAAATGGTTTGAACTAAGACACTTTGATTATCAACATTTGTAAAATAGTAATGATAATAAAAAGAGAGTGTTCTTTTCACTTGAATCTTCAAGAAAGAAAGTCTCAGGATGGGTGAACCTGTATTTCTGGATTCAAATCAATAAAATGACAGTTCCTGTCCCACAAGGTTCTTAAGGTCAAGGGTTTTGACCTTAGGCTTAGTCGTGACACCAGATTAAGTTCACTACAGCTGCCACTTGGATGTTTGGTGTGAGCTCACTCCAGGTGGAGTTGCTGATCATCTCATGTATTTTTCAGTTGTTTCTGTTGTGAAAAGCTCGTATATCAGACTTTGTTTTGTTTCAGAGGAACACAGGCTATGTTTGCTTTAATAAGTCTGCCACTGAGCTTATAGACTCACACAGATGTACCATATGTGGCATGTGTGTCTGTAAATGGACTGTTTTCATAATAAATTATAATTGTAGCATGTGGGCTGAAGCTGAGGTACCAGAAGCAAATGTTTTTGTTTTTTTTTGGAAATTAGGAAGTTTTTATTTCCCTGTATTGTAGGTTCTGAGTTGTATTTGCAGCATGGAAGTACCCAACTCAAGTGTATGTGTTCATTTTGTACACTTGCTGGTAATCAGAAACTTGTTTTTTTTGCCCTTTCAATTTTATACAAACTTAAGTGAAATTGTAATCACTCCAAGCTGATATGAAGCCAGATTTTGACCACTTGAGACTACTTTATTGTTTGAACTTGGAAGAAAAAAAAGACATTGATGTTTTTGGGTTAACTTTGGTCGGCTCTGTGCTGAGGTTTCTACTTTACCAAGTACCAGGAAAAATGGTTTTTCTACATGTAATTGACTCGCATGTCTCTTGAAAATGGGGAAAAAGGCATGAAATTACTTTGGGAGGCAGCTGTGGCTGAGTGGTTGGAGCAGTCGTCCTCCAATGGGAGAGTTGGGGGTTAGATTCACCAGCTGAAATGTCCCTAGACAAGACACTGAACCCCTCATTGCCTCTATTGTGTGTCCTATTGGTGTATGAATGTAATATCACTGATTATTCTTTGTACAGATCTAGTAGAGTGCTGTATGAATGGGTAAATGAGGGCATAGATTGTAATGTAAAGCACTTTGAGTATCTTGACAAGATAGAAAGGTGCTATATGCGGTAAGTGCAGTCCATTTACCATTTTAAAAAGTCTCTAGGAGTATTTGCCATTCTGATCTTAATGCTCGTTTATTAGCAATGTGTCATCATCAACTACTAGGATCAAGATTGCACAATACTCAGTAAAATTAGTTGTTTCAATTGGCAAATTACAGCCAGACCAAAAGCAGCATTTCTTAGTTTCTCCGATGTTTAAAGGAAGCATGTTTATGGCTGTAGTATATGGAATAATGTGCAGAAACACCAGCACAATAAGTTCTCTGAGCAACAAATTAAAATTGGTTTGAATCATTATTCTAGTGCATATTACACAGTTTTAAGTTTTCCTAAGCATATATAAACAGAAGGTCTTGTTTCATTATGCCTGGGTTGTCAATGAATTTGGTAGAGGTTTCAGTCTCAACACTTTGGTGGTTCTTGGGTTGTTCTTGAACATCACAAGTTTTCTCAAAGCTGACGGAGACTGTTTTTTCCTTGAGTCCTTGGGGAAAAATGGCTTTAACTTTTAAAAAGTTAAACACATTTAAAAAAGTTTTGAATTGATGTTCTTGGGAATCTTGTGGTTAACGTCAACTAGCGTGTCAAATTTAGACTGCTGGGCAACCCTTATGCAACCAAACCCGTTTTCCATTCTTCACCATCATTGAATACCCAGTTTGCTCATAAGATAGTTTGCCTTAAAATGTGTAAAACAAGAAAAGTCAAAGGTTAATGAGCAGTGCCTGTTTTTCAGTACATCTGCTCGTGAATCTCTCCACGTGGATGTCTGTCTCGTTTCTGTTAAGGCTCATAAACGTTGACTCAATTACATACTCAGAGGAAGACATTCATTTAGATTCGAATGTTTTCTCTGTTTTTCTTTTTCTTACTTGCTCGGTATTGTTGCGTTGTAGCTGAATAATAGATAAGTAGAGCCAAAACCCTGTTCAGTTTCTCTGTTGACAACCTGATACTCGGATCTCGTGTCAGATTTGGATCTGCAGACAGACGCTGTCGAATCCAAAACAACCCTTCACTTCTGCCTCTCCACTTTCTTTGCTGAGTTGCACAGTAAAACAATTTTTTTTAAACCTGCCTAAATTTATTTCCACTGAGATGCTAAATATTCTCTACAAATGGATTTCTTTTTGAAAAAGACTCTGAGCCTTGCAGCAGTGAAATAATTGAGCATGACTGTGGTTTTCCCCCCAACAACCGTGGGCAGGTGCAGCTCTGAGAGGACGCTGCCAATTGTAACTGCTTTTAAACACTTCATCATTCAAGGCCTCCTTTAATGTCTCGTACCAACAGGCCTCTTTTTTTTTTTTCCTTGCTCTATTTTTGTCCCTTCCTTTCACTCTCATCCTTCCCTCTGTGAGCGTCCTTCTCATTTTATGCTCTTTTCTGTCAGTTTTCAGTAATTTCGTACAGTTGCTTTCATGTCTTGAGGTCTGTGAAATAAACACACATTGGCCGGGCTCTTGGACTCATTGCAAAGTGAATAATAATTACATTTTTGACACTGTGCAGCAGCCATGTTAACAAGACTTCTTTCTGCTTCAACAAAATAATCATCTTTTCAAAAGAAGAAAACAAAGCTAGATATTAAAATAAAAATGCCTGTAATTAGTGATGCATCATTTGCAGCTACCTTTGTCAATCTCACTTTCCAATTTTGGAAAGCTGATTCAAATTTTTGCCAATTCTAAATTCCCACTAAGCATTATGATAACCAGTAAATGTTTTTCCTCTCATTTCAAGTTAAGCTGAAATTTGAAAGTGTGTTCATAAAAATAATTTAACAAAAATCTCAAAACATTTCCATTTTCTCCAAAACAGCCCCTGATTAGAGTTTTTTCCCCTTCTTCTTTCACTGAAAATTTACATATATGGTAAATATTACTCTTGTAGGTATTGATCAAAGGTTTTTATACAAATAAAACTACTGATACTACTATTATATGATCATATATTGATATACTATTGAGTGATTCCCCTACCATTATACTGGCGCTCTGCCTACAGAACGTAGTGCTAAGATGGCAGGTGGGCAACAAACGTGACTCCATCCCATCCCTCCTACCCTGTCGACAAAAACAAAATACGACCAGCACCCCGCCAAGGGAACTGATCTAGGGGAAACACTGCTATTGATAGATTTTTATATTGCTTAGCATTGATTTGTGCTGCTTCTTTGAGTTTCACTGCCGTTTGTCCTACTTGAGTTACCGTAGCTTCCTGTAGTTAAACCCTGATGCAGTAAAGACGTGTTATTTAACATCGTTTTAAGTTTTTAGTCGCTAAACCCTACAAAATATGTTTGTAAATAATAGTTGTTGTCATAACATCACCATTTTTATTAATGACAGTTTGTATATAAATTTACAGTGATAAACATTATGCTAAACACATTAGCTTCCTATGGCAATTTAAGGTTGGCGTTTATGCTAATTGTTGATCAGCAGCCTGTGTTTATAAGGGGCTTTTGATATGTTATTGTTCACTTTACCTTCGTCAACTTGCTTTCAAATAATAGCTCTTACACAGACCGCTGAACTTAAATATGTCATCTGTTGAAGTGGCAGCTGGTATTTAAATGAAAACTTTAAACTGTTTGAACTACAGACAAACTTCCAAAGAGAATGGTTTTCTTTAGTAGCCTCTTACATCTCTTCTTCCTCTTGCCTTTGTATTTAAACACCTTTATAGATATCGGTATAAATGTCTAGCTTTTTTTATATGACTATCATTTTCACACACTTAATAATAATTGTAATTGTGAAGATAATGCTTTAGCAAATTCATTCAACCTTTATTTAGACAGGTTAATCCCATTGAGCCTCGAGGACTCATTTACAAGAGACCTGAAACTTGGTATCAAGTTATAATATCAAGTTATATTATATAGTTATTAAATATTTTGTATCAAGTTCAACTCCCCGACCCAAGTTTTCATGGGTTGGGAAGTTTTTTTGTTGTTCTTGTTGTTGTTTTGTAGTGCTAGATCAACTAACCACTGTTGAAGTTGGTCAACCTGAAAACAAACATCAACCCAAAAATTTTAAAACCTAAACGGGGATGTTGTACATTTAAGAGTTTCTTAAATAATATATATATAAGCTTATAATAATAATAATATAATAAGAAGTTATTATTATATTTTTTTGATTAGTTTAATATTTTCTTATTCTCTGAAAGCTGTCTTAAGCAACCATCCACAGGAATTTTTTTTTTAGTACAAAAGAGCCATTTTTGGAACAATTATTGAACAATATCTAATTTTTGAAAGTGAGCTTCAGAGTAAACATGCTCCCTGTCTTGTTTCCTGTTTTTAGTGTATTTCTGTGGCAGTGCTACGGCGCCACATAAGGGTCTGCCATACAGACCCTTACAGCATTTTTGGTTGTTTTCCATGTATTCATATTGATAGACATTTCTTGAAATATTGTTTGGGGGGGAATGGAAGCACTAAATGGATAATTTTAGAAAAAATGCATATTGTTATGAAGAAGACTGTAATAAATAAGTAAAATTGATTGACTTAGTCAGTGCTGTCTTTTCTTCAGTAAAATACTACCTAAAAACGTTATTTTTTGCACTTGAATCACTTAACAAGTTGTTTCTTTTCTTTCTCTTTCAGAGGAAATCAAGGAGGAATCCAAAAAATTAAGGTAAGCCACTGATAAATTGTATAACACAAACAGGGATTGGTTGTTTTAATGGGTTTTGTCTTTTAGATGTGAAATTTTTGGCTCGTTTTCGGGCTTTGCTGTGGATTCCTCCTGTGTTCAGACTAGTGAAGATTAGACGTGTGCACGTGTCTCTTTGCATGGCTTGTTTCCAAAAGCCCCCTTGTGTTGTCATTAATGGGCTTCTTTATAAAGCCATGCCTCTTGTTGAATTTTTCTTTTTTTATTGTGTGCCCTGTTTGTGAAAGGGTTTGCCAAGTAACAGGCTTTGGAATGTGACATCGACCCCCCTCCATCTTCTTTTCATGCTCCTTCTTTTTCTTTCTTTATTTCTCTATTTCCATTTGTTCAACCAATTTCTTCCAGATTTCACAACTGATTGATCAAAAAGTCTGGTTTCATTTTGGGTGCTTCTCTGCCCCCTTTTATTTCCATATTTTGCACGTATGAATACAAATTACATTTTTGATAGCCTCTAGTTCTATTTAAACTGAACTTGTGCATTCATGAGGTTTTAAATGAAAAACATCCTTGAAATCTCAATAAGAGAATTAGGTTGTATATATATTTAAACATTTTTAAATGGTATAAAAAACATATTGATGTTTTAATTTTTGTTTTTTGTTCAGATTAATAGAGAAATTACTTATTCAATACATTAACCATCCACTAACCATGTCTGTGCGCATTTGTCTGCAAAATACCTGAACCACTGAACAGATTTTAATGTACATTTACAATTGATTAGCTGTTGGAGTAAACCCCTCCATGGCCTCCACAGCTAAGTTAGTGTAGAAAACAAAAATTTGTCTAACTCAGTCAGTTTTACAGATGTTGAGCTTTAATATGTTGTGGTAGTAGCTGAGAGTCTGTACTTTTGAGCTTAACACATTTAGCGACATATTTACCTAAAACTTTGGCATTAGCTGATGGAGTCGACCGCATTTGTGTTGGCATAAAATCCCACAAACCACTTGATGAATTTAATGAAACCGTCAGAAACTAATCATTGGATGTACATCTACAGCTGATTGATCTCAGAGTCAATCCAAATCTTCTCAATTCAACTCAAAATTTGGACCATTTTAGGATTTGTTGGCTGTTTTTATGAGCAGTTATTAGCTGGAATACATTGCAGCCAAGCACAGAATTTTTATTAATTCTTTTTTTACTGCAATAATGTTATTTATTTTACAACTACTCATAAACTGAATAACTGTTTAACCTCTGTCAAATATCTGTGTTAGATGAGATATAAAAGTAGAAAGCTGAAATAGATCATTTTATTGGGTGGTTGAGTTAATTGGTCACATTGAAAGAATTAAACTTTGGACATGTCTGTATGTACCGAATCAATGACCAAGTAGGAAAGTAAAGATGTAGCAGCTGCTACAACAATTTTATTGTTGCTCACAGTATAGTCTTTTAAACAAGAATGCTCTTTTTTATATTTATTTATTTATAATTGTAGAATTGCGCCGTTCGGGATGGCTGCATGTTGGAGTGGCTCTGTTACTTTCATTCTGAGTTATTGCTTTTAAAAACTTTGATTCCTCTTTTTCTGGACATAAATCACTTTTCAGATGACTATTTACTCTGGTATCGGATGCTGTGCAGCTGGAAGTATTTTTACTGAAACATTTTTTTTTAACTTTTGAGCATATGTTATGATGTGTAACCATGGTAACAAGGTGTTTTTTTTTAACAATCAGAAGCTACTGATTAACATCTCAAAAGCTCAAATACCTCATCTACAGCCTCAAATCCCAAATGAGTTGAAAAGGAGGCACTGCGGACAAATTCCCATCAACCTGGCGGCGATGTTCGAGTACCTGACCGCCAAGATCCTGGAGCTGGTGGGGAAACTCTGCTCGTGATAATGGGAGGACCGGGATCATCCCCCAGCACCTTCAGCAGTCTGTCCGTGACGATGAGGAACTCTGCAGACTGCTGGGCATCACTCAGGGAGGAATTCTGCCTGGCATTCGGGCTGTCCTGCTGCTCAGGAGGCCCGAGAGGCTCGCCGGATCTGATAGAAAGCTGGATCCGGGTGGACGGATTGGTATCTGTTGCCAGATTCTTCGGATTTGCTGCAAGAGATCCTTCCTGTCCACAGCCATCTGCATCTAACAACTCTTGAATGAAACTAGGATAATGAGCTATGGCAACACTTAATTTCCCTTTTGGATTAATAAAAGTATTTTTGAATCGAATTGAATTTTAAGTGTCCAAGTTCTTCTAAGGGTAATAAATATACATTTATTGATGTTAAATGAAGATGTTGCTTCAGACGGTCGTAGTGAAGAAAGAGCTGAGTCAACAGACAAAACTCTTGATGTTTTGGCTTGTGTATGTGCCATCCTTCACCTGTGGTCAGGAGGTTTGGATCATGACCGAAGAAACGAGATCCTGGATACAAGCAGCTGAAATGAGCTTCCTTTGCAGGGTGGCCGGACTCAGCCTTAGAGATAATGAGGAGCTCTGTCATCCCGGAGGGAGCTCATTGTAGAGCCTCTGCTCCTCTGCGTTGAAAGGAGTCAGTTGAGGTGGTTCAGGCATCTTATTAGGATGCCTCCTGGACACCTCCCTTTGGGGGTTTTCTGGGCATGTCCCACTGGGAAAAGAAGAACCAAGAACACACTGGAGGGGTTATATCCTCTGGCATAGGAACACCTTGGGGTCCCCCTGGAGAGGCTGGAGTGTTGCTGGGGCAAGGGATGTCTGGGTTTCTCTCCTGGACCTGTTGCGTCATTGACCTGACTTTGGTTAAGAGTAGAAGATGAAATTAAAAATGTATATCAGCCTTGCAGCACAAAAAATATAAATGCAGGCCTTGCTGTCTGAGAAAAACTGCGCTATATTTTGTTTGTGTCCTGATCGCCACCTCAGCCGAGTGAATTGTGATAAATGACAGAAACAGATGGGAATCGATCCTGCACATGAGCTGATAGAGTTGCTACTTATCACTGAATCACAGCTTCACTTTGTTGCACAAAACATATTGTAAAATGTCTCATTTTCTTTTAATTTGTCTTATTTTGTAGCCGATTTGTTTAGCCGAGATATCTCTATGGTCAGTTCTGTGCTCTTGCAATCTGAAGGTTGCAGGTTCAAGCCCAGTTTGCATCAGCTCTTTGTTTCCATCGCTTCACCATCTCTTGGTTTTCTTTATGCTTGTTTCATCTTTTAATTTCTGCTGCTTCCTTTGTTGTTTGCCACCCTCATCCTTTACAAGGCACCTCAGCAAAGCCTCCGTCCTCTCATGCTCCACTGTGAGGTCGCCCGTCTTAAAAGAGCTGAAGTCATTCTTCTTCATTGCCAAGACATAAACAAAGCAGCCTCCTCCTTCACTATCTTGTCTGCCTCCCTCCTCAGCTCCCACCCTTCCTCTGTTTTTCTCTACTTTCAGCCAGATCTGTGGGTGTGGTGGCAGCGGTTGGGGAAGCTGAGCAGACATAGCTGCTGAAAGCGATGGTCCATGTTTTATTTTATTTTTTCACTCAGTAAAAACAGCTGCATCATTTGTTGTTCTAGTGGTTGTTCAGAGAAAAATGACAAACCTCAAGATGTACAATTCTCTCACTGTGTGAGATCAGGTGACATTTTGAAGCATCCTTATATTCAGTGTAATATTGATTTTGTTTGCCCCAGATCTGAGCAGAGCTCGGGGATACCTTCTTTAAGGTTCAGTATGTTTACCGGTAATATTGTGCCCCAGCTTTAGAAGAAAGGGGTGTCATGTGTGGTGACGCATAACACCCCTAACACTTTGTTTGTCATGCTCCGTTAGTTATGTCTGGGTGAAAGAAAAATTGTGAGTGTCGGACTGATTTATGAACCCTGGACTGAGTGATCAGTGTTGATCTCATTGTTTCTGTCTCTCTTTTGTTTTGTTTTGTTTTTTCTTGCATTGTTCCTCCTTAGTCCACCCAGTGGAGATGGCAAATCTGGCTCCAGCACTTTACCGCCAATCAAATCGAAGACAAACTTCATTGAAGCCGACAAATACTTCTTGCCTTTTGAGCTAGCTTGTCAGTCCAAATGTCCCCGCATCGTCATCACCTCCCTCGACTGTTTACAGGTCAGTGGATGGACGGCTTAGGCAGCAGACCGCCACATGTTTGTACGAGTGTTTTCGGGTGGAAGCTCATAAAAGCACATCTTGGCCAAGTCTTGAGATGTGAACTGAAATCCCTGGAGAACTTCTCCTTAGAATAAAAGTGAGCAAGTTGTGCGCTCTGGCTCTACAAGTTGTTTGTGTTTACTTATCTGCATCTGTAGAAGCTGATAGCATATGGCCACCTGACGGGCAGCGCCCCGGACAGCACGGCTCCGGGCAAGAAGCTCATCGACAGGATCATCGAGACCATCTGTGCTTGTTTTCAAGGACCTCAGACTGATGAGGGTGTGCAGCTACAGATTATTAAGGTACCATTACAATGGTGGCTGTAGCCACTTGTTTTGTTAGCCCTAAGCCTCATTTAACTCTTAATTACTTAGCCTAGCACCTGCAGCCTTTCTGTGTTTTAGCTTTTCATACACAGAAATCATTTTTTGTTGGGAATTAAAACAGTCAAGGACATCTGGCTAAAATCTGACTAAATATGGTTTAAAAGTGAAAAGTTTGTAGACGTCTAAACCTTGTTGTACATGATGATTCTGTATTGAAGTACAGAGCACATTGACGAGTATTCTTCAAACAGTTTTGGCTTGCAACAGATAAGTCGATACAATAATTTCCAAATGTAAACAAAGTCAGAGATGCCAGGTCAAAAGCGAAAAGGCTATTCTTTTTGCTCTTTGTTTTCTGTAAAGAACCTGGGATTAAAAGCTGTTGGGACGGGAGTCGACAGATGTAGAATAATTTGGGGGGAAGAAGCCAAGCCGTGGAGATCGTGCAAGCAAAAGTTGCGGCTGCGATCATATGCAAATGAGTTACGCTGAGAAATTCTGAATGGCTGATCACCTAGTTTAGTTGTAAACAGAAGCAATAAATATTTGTTGTTTTCTAGCACAATCTTATGAGTTTGCATAACAAAAAAGATAATTTATTGATGTATAAATTGTTTGAAGCATGAAACATTAAAAAACAAAAGGGGTGCACCGATTGCAGTTTTCTGGCTGATCACCGATTTCTACAAAGTCTGACCTGCCGATTCCGATTTTGGCCGATACTGATTTTGTTTTATAAGCGACACTGTCAGGTGTTATAAAGTCACAATGCACCTTCAATTTTCCAATCTTATTTTATTGAAAAACATACCCTTCAGCAATATCCTAGAAGAATAAAAACTTTTTGAACTGGCCATGAGGTAGTGCTCTGAAATATAAATGAAGTTCAGAAAATTGTTGTTAAAACTAAAAAGAAATCTGTAAAATCAGTTTCTTATTGGCCGATTTTCAAAAAATTAAGGAAATCGGGCCCGATTTATCGACGCACCCCTAATTTTGACAGCTATTATAAATATTATTATTATTATTTTTAACTGGGATTCAACAGATTCCTGTAGTGAGCCTGTGTTGAGCACGCAGGCCAGTTATGGCCCGAGAGCCACCAGTTGACTTCTTTAGTTTGTTAGCCTTGGGTTTCTCTGAAGTCCTGCAACTGAAAGCGAAAGGATTAATATTTTTGCTTGCACATGTCTGTTGTTAGCAAAATATCTTGTGAACAACTGGATGAATTTTAATGAAGCTTAACTGTATTAAATTTTTTTTAATTTTGTTGTTAACCAAATTCAAAATATTTAAGTTTCAAACTCAAAAATAGCTGTAACTTTGTCAAATGTGTTTGACAAGTTTGATGTGGTAGTAGCTGAGAGTCATCCTCAACATGTACTGTATTCTGAGCGCTGTTATTTGTTGGGTGGAAGTTTGTCACCTTGTTGGTGCCATCATTTTATAATAATTTATTCAGAAGTATTGTTTGTAAGCTGACAGTTTATAGTCTAAATGCTTTAACTTGTCTGGTTTTTGTTTCTAAGTAAAAGAAAGAGATGAGATTTTTTTAAATTGAACACAGACTTTAAAAACTTTTTGAGAGCGCTGACCGTGTGTGGAGTCATTTAAAATAAAATAAACACATAACAAAGACAGCTACACAAAAAGGTGAATTAGTATAAGAAATAAGAGGATTTATATTGAGTAATTGACGTAGTGTGAAGCTGAGTGAGTCTTTCCTTCTGCCTCGTTCCTCCAGGCTCTGCTGACGGCCGTGACCTCCCAGCACATAGAAATCCATGAAGGTACCGTGCTGCAGGCCGTCCGCACCTGCTACAACATCTACTTGGCCAGCAAGAACCTCATCAACCAGACGACGGCGAAGGCCACGCTCACACAGATGCTCAACGTCATCTTCGCTCGCATGGAGAACCAGGCAGTACGTGAAACTATGTGCAAACACACAATCGTCTGTAGAAACACACAAGTGGGACGGACAAGACTGAAACCTGCTTATTTTATTTCATCATTCAATTTTGTTCATTTAAACCATGTGTTCCTCTTTTAATCAGAGTTTCTATGTTTGGAAGGACATTTTAAGTGTTGCCTTCAAAGACAGCTTGCTCTAATGTCATCTTTTTCTTTTTGAATGACACTTTCCCCTTCCTCCTCCTCCTCCTCCTCACCTGCCTCCCTCCCTCCCTACCTTTTTTTTCGGACACGTAGCTTACAAATCACAAGCTATCTTGGTCTCTGGCCTCCAGAAAGCGTGACCGCCAGGTAAAGCGTGCAGGACTTGCCGTGATATTGCCTGATCAGAACTTTTCAACTCTTTCCTGTGTGTCTGTGTTTGCGCTTTTTAAAATTTAGTTAAATTTTTTTTTCCCCCTCATCCATTCGTGCACTCATCCGTTACTCTTCCTTTTCTGCTGCGCTGCAACAAGAATGCTGTCTTCCACCGTCTGCTTGCTGTGGCTTCTCTTCTCATCTTGCTTTCCCACAACTTCCTAGGTTATAAATGCACCTGGTTGTGGTAAATCTTTTTAAATATTTAGTGTCTCTTAACGCTTGCCGTAGTTCTTGTAGGATAATGGCACTGAGACTGTGATGAACAGGAGTCATGAGTAGGAAATAAAGAAAAGCAGACTTTGAGTCTTATTATATTGCCCTGCTGCTAAAGGAGATACTCTTTCTGTGTTTGTGTGTATCCTACTGGTTACAGCTCAGCTTGGTCTGATCTCGCGCACACACACACACACATAACTTACCCATGTCCACATTGGGGACGCATGTTTTAATACCCCACCTTAGGGGACACCCCTTTCTGACTAGTGGTTTTGGTCCCCAATTGCCAACGTGTCCCTTAATGACTGATGTCTGTGCTTGCTCAAGTCCCCAAATGGAACCTACACAAACACACACACACGCACACACACCGTTCATGATCCAGGTGAGGTGGCATTTAAATAATGAGCTTAGTTTGTTTGTGCTGCCTCGACTTTCCCCTCCGGTATGTTTCGTCTGCTCCTATTTGATACTAAACGTTCATTTAAAAACCTGCCTCGTTCAGTTTATTTTGGTCACATTTACGTGTGACAATAGCAGCAGGCTCGTATAATTGGAACCGAACGGCTCCTAATAGGAGCGTGCTTTTCAAATCAAGAAATAAAACGTCTGATTAAAGTTGTAAGATGAGCTGAAATGCAGTACGCCCAATAAAGCCAATATTATGTCATCGCTCACCAACAAAAGGTGAAGGCGGACGTGTTTTGAGCCAACTTTTCTGTCTGTTAGCAAAATATCTCTTGAACCACAAAACGGATTTTAACGAAACTTGCAGGAAGTAACCACTAAATGTGTGTCTACAACTGAATAACTTTTGAAGTCAACCTGATTAAAGATGGCCGCCACAGCCTATCAATTTTAGCCAACACAAAAATGTTGATTTTATAGATATTGAGCTAAATCTTGTGGTAGTAGCTGAGGCGCATCTCAAACACATATTTGGTGCTTTAACAGATGTGCAAGGCCTTTGTTTAAAATGTTGCCATTGACTATTCAGAGTCAACTCCATCAGTCTGTTCGCAAAACTTGTAATGAATGAAACTTTCAGGAAATAATCGTGGTATTTTTATCTATATCTGATTAACGGACTGTAGCTCAGTCAGTTTCACAAATATTAAGCTAAAACCTGATGTGGTAGTAGCTGAGGGTCATTCCAAACAAATGACTCCTTCGATATTTCATGAAATTGCACATTTCTCACATTAAGATGATTTTAGTTTAGCTCTGGCATTAAAAGCAACGAGTGTTTGATATGCACTCCTTCAATAAACACGAAGCTTTTCATTTTATCTTGAATTTAAGGGATTAGCTGTTCATATTTCCCGCTTGTGGTTGGTTTTTATTCCTTTTTTCCGTTTAGCTTGAGATGGATCTTCCTGAATTTGTTGCTTTTTTTAAAAACATTTTCATACATGCCTCATGTCCCTTTAGCTCCTGGAGATGCTCAAGTCCACCTCTCTGATTTCTTTTTGCCCTTTTTCTTCTCTTCTGTGCATTTGGATCGAAAACGCTTCGAAAGCTGTTGTAACTTTAGTCTGGCTGAGAGATTTTGCACCGCTTAGTTTGTTTTTTCTCTCTTTTTGCACCTGTGTTGGTGTTTTCTGTGAAATATTAATGTGTTCAACTGCGGAGGCCATTTTTATTATCTGCTGAGACAAATGGTTCAGATATTTCCTATTAAAAGTCAAAATGTTTAAATAGGCAGCCTGAACGCACCGGTTCACCAGCGTGATGATGTTATGGTGCTTGTAACTGTGTGCAAATGTCTCGTGACCCAGCAAGCTGAGGCGTGGCGATGCCGTGTCGCTCCCTCTCTATCAGACATGTCAGCCATGACACATCAGAGCGTGCCCGTGTGAGCCGTTTTCCACCAGAAGTGCTTTTTTTAAACGCACCAGAAAGCATGAAGTGACTTCACATGTTGTTTTAGTAGCATGTCAGTGGAGATTCATGTACATTTCCATGCAGCTGACACGTTTTCAGAACATACGAGCTATATTTGTGTCTGCAAACAGGCTGATTAAACTAAATGCTGATATATTTAATTAATATTTGCGTCTTCCTTCTGCTGTTTTTTTTGGTTTTGTTTCTTCTGTTGTATGTTTGTGTGCGTTTTCCCCCTTCCCGCCTCAGCTACAGGAAGCGAAGCAGCTTGAGAGAGATCGGCACCGCCAGCACTCCCCAGTCACCCAGCACGCTGAGCCAGAATCCCCGCAGCTCCAGACCCCTGTTCACCCGCCCGCCAAGACTTCGACCCAGCAGGCCAACGGGCCCGTCAGCCCTCGGACCCCGAGCATCACCTTCCCATCCACTCCGTCCACCCCAACCACCCCCTCGACACTGGCCCCGGAGTCCAGCAGCAGGTCTGTGTCCGGGGAGCAGGAGGAGCAGGGGCCTGTCTACGAGAACCCGGATCCTGAGAACGGTTCTGAGTTCTGTGCGGTTGAAAATGAGCAGACAGAGGCGGACCAAGCCACCGCAGCAGCAGCACAGAGTACGACATTTTTCTGCACTGCGGTAAAATCAGTGGCGATAACACGTTAAATTGTTTTAATTTGCAACATCGGCTCCTTTTCTTATTATCTTCAGCATCCAAACAGCATGAACGAGCAGGTGAGGAGGAAGAGGAGGTCCTAAACTATGAAGAGAAAGCCCAGGAAATAGTTCAGAGTATTCTGCAGGAGGTGGTCAACACAGTTGCAGCAGGTAAGACTGAATGTTTGTGCTTCACTAAGATTTTTTTTTTTTCCCAAAATGGCACTTCCTAAATCCAGATTGTAGTTTGCACCAGTTTGTGCAGAACAGATTTGAGATTTCACACCACAATGCTGTGATTTGATTTAAACGTACAAATGGTTTAGAGTTCCAGTTGATTCCTCTCAAGAATCAGCTATTTATAAATAACATAAAAATAGAAAGGCCAGAAATGTCTGTGACATCCAGTGGGAAAGATTATGTGACAACATAAAAATGGATTAAAATAAATACGACAGGATTTATAGTTGGAAGAAATGCAGTTTTTAAAGCTTTATAAAGCTAGATGGGTTGTCACTGTGCAACATCTGTGTCTCAAATGAAATGTGATTCGCAACAAATGATGTGTATAAAACCCTAAAGCTGAAATACTTGTTGGATTAATGGGAAATTTTACACTTTTCCTCAAACCGTAAAATCGAAACTGACAGTTGTGAGATTTTGTAAACATTAGTATTTTAAATATTTCTGCTCTGAGTCTACTCATAAATGATTTTTGTTGGTGACAACATGAAGATTAAGCAAAAATCATTTTTAATAGTGTGAACGTTTATGAAGCATTCACACTATTGTGGTCCATTTTTCTTCTGTACGTTTTTCAGCATCTTTCTTGTTCCACAATTTTTGTGCTATTTCAACAACTCATGAATCAAAACATTCAGCTTGTTCAGGACAATCCTGCTGTGACTTTTGGTATTGGTGCAACTTTAGCTTTTTGAAATATTTAGCCTTTTCTGCCTTTTTTTTCTCATAGAAAATGAATTGAGCTCATTTTACATCCTTCAGATCTTTAGATCTGTTTACAACCTTTTACTGCTCCTTTCACATTTTGTTCCGGTTCAGCTTCTTTCAGCTTCCTTCTGCAAAGTAAAACTTTTTTCAGATACTTTCAGCTAATTTCAGCTGGTTTTTTTCAGCTGTTTTGTGATCCTTTCTGATTTATTCTGCCAACTACAACATTTTTGTGCTTCTTCAAACTTCTTTCTGCTAATTTCAGCTTATGCTCCTTTCAGCTTATTTCTGCAAGTTTCAGCTTTTTCTGCAATTTCAGCTACTATTTAAGCTTTTGCAATAAGTTCCACATTGTTTGCGCTCATTGAAACTTTTTTCAGCCTATTTCAGCAAAAATGTGATTTCTCCACTTCCTTCTGGTAGTTTAAGCTTCTTTTTAGCTATTTTTTGCTAAATCAGCTTTTATCTGCTCATTTCTTCTTCTTTCAGCCAAATTGGGCAAACATGCATTCTTTCTGTTTTCTCATGCTAATTTAAGCTTGTTTTACATTTTCAGCTAACTTTAGCTTTTTTTTTTTTTTTAGCTAATTTAATGTTTTCAGATAATTTCAAGTTTTTGTGGTAATTTCTGCTACTTTCAGCTTATTAACTTATTTCTGCTCCTTTCAGCTTTTTCTGCTAGTTTAAGCTTCTTTCTGCCTTTTCAGCTACTTTTCAGCTATTGGTTGTTAATTTCAGCATTTTCTTTAACTAATTTCCTAATTTTTTTGCTCATTTCTGCCTATTTAAACCTAGTTCATCAAATATGTGCTCTTTCTGCTTTCTTCTACTTCTTCATTTCATCTACATTTCTGCATGTTTTTAGCTCATTTCAGTTTTTCAGTAAGCTCTTCTGAAATAAGCTTTCACACTGCATTTTCGCAGGAAATGCAATTTCTCTAGTTTGTTTGATCTTCTAAAAAGTTCCTTCAGATCCTGGTAAACATGTCACAATCGCCTTTTTGAATTTGTATTAAATAAAGGTGCCATGGTGAACTCCAGATTAAAATTAGGAGTTTCTTGATGCTTTGATGGTCGCTTACTGTCAGGTACCATAGCGAGGTATTTACAGGTGTAAGTGTCTGTTGTCATCACAGGCCACTGCCTGGATCCTGTGAACCTTTGCTCCGAAACGAAGAAGTCTGCTAGCGAGCCGGCTGAGCCGCAGCCCACTGAGCCGGCGACGGAGGAAATCCAGAGCTCGCTGGAGGACGAGGGCACCGTGGGGAGCGACAGTGAGCATGTCCACGCCAACGGCATTCCCGGCACGCCCATCTCCGCCATCTTCACGCCCTCATTGCCTGATGATAGGCTGTCTCTGTCCTCCACTGACACTCAGGTGAGCGACGGAGATCAGCCAACGCACCGCTCTCCGTTAATCTGGAAATCACTGATTGTGAACCCTGCCCCCGGTACTTTTCCAGAACACACTGTGAGGGTAGATTAAGAAGGTCAACCCAATAAAACGTTCACAGATCACTCTGAACTGCTGCCACCACGTTAACGGAGAGCAGCACGCTGCACAGTCTTGACGAAGCTCCAAAATTCACAGTTGAAACTCGTGCCTTCGTGTAAGAAGTTGTTTTTCTCTGAAAAAAGAAGCTGAGAACTTGTTTACTGATTTTTTTTTTTATTAAAAGCTTTGTCTGAAAAATGCTAAAGAGCTCAAACCACACCAAGTGTCCACCATTTTGAGAACCGAAGAGCTACAGCCCATGTCATGTCAAGGGGCGTCTCTCCCATTTTTCTTAGAGACACACTGCTCGCTCCCTCACTATCCATCCTTCAGTTCAAACAGTCTTATACTGCCATCCGGTGGTCGAAAAAAGATACTACACCCGAAACAAATTAACAAACATTCCTTCTTAAATTTGACAATAATTGCCAATTATTATAAAATTTCAAACAATAATGTTGTTTATCAAAAATAATTTCTGAAACAATTAATTGTCCAGCAAAATTTATCATCGTGACAGTCCTATTGTCTGCTGAAAATTGAAGGCTGTGATTTACTCGAGACAAAAAAAACTTGGTGTTTTCTAGAATCACTCAAGTAATCTCGATTAATCTGGAGGCCTTTAATCTCCCTCTTGCCATGTTAGGTGGTGTTAGAGGAAGAAATCCAGTAACCTCGCACTTCTTTTTATTCCCCTCAGGAATCAGGAGCGACACCGGGACAGCCGCCAGGCGCTAAATTCTCCCACATCCTGCAGAAAGATGCTTTCCTCGTCTTTCGCTCGCTCTGCAAGCTGTCGATGAAGCCGCTTTCAGACGGACCGCCTGATCCAAAGTAAGATGTTTATTATCGAGGTAGAAACGCTGTTAAAATGTTTAAGGTTTTAAAATAAGGATTGTGAAGCTTTATTTAGTGATGAAGGAAATGAGGCATCACTGTCTGAATCACTTCCTGGTTTTACGAGATGCACAAACTCCATTCTCTCTCTCCCTCTCTCTTCTTAAAGCAACAGGAATGCAGAATAGATGATTTTGCGTCATATTTTCTCTGACTTGTCTTTTCTCAGAAGAATTATATTTCACCAGCTTGTACTGATGGTTGATCCTTCTGTGAAAGTGAATTTCGTGCATCTTGTTTCTGTCTAAAACTCTTGCTTTTTCCCTCCAAATTGTTCTAATCTTGTGTTTTGTTTATGTTAGTTTGTCCCTAACAAGGTTATTCTGCCTGATATCACTCTGTCAGACCAGAACAACACACATGCACCCCCCCCCCCCCAACACACACACACACACACACACAGAAGAGTTGCAGAGTTATCGAGTGAAAATAAAGGCCTAGTATTCCTTGAAGGAATCCATAACAGATATGTAAAGGATTAATATTGCTGTGCCTCTGAAACTGTAAATGGCTTCAATAAGTCTCACATTTTGTGACTAAATCTGCTCAAAGGAATGATGATTCCTCTTAAAGGTATTATGGGTAAAGCTACACTCATGATCATGAACAAAACTTAGTGTTTTACCTCGTTTTGTAGTGATTTTTTTTAAATGTTGATTCACAAGATCTACACAAGGCGAGGTCAGTGAACAAGGCCAGGCTGATTCTGGCAGATCCTGATCATCCACTCCATGGTGAGTTCAGGTTGCTTCCATCTGGACGCAGATATCTGCTGCCCAGATGTAGGTTGAACGTACTGAAAAACTCATTTATTCCTGTAATGATCAGGCTTCTCAATGAACAGTGATGATTTCTGTATTGGTATTTTAACGTCTCAATGTCTTGTCTTCCATGAATGTTTTGTGTGTCTACCGACTGCGAAACAAATTGCCCCTTGAGGATAATAAAGATTCTTGAACTTGAATAAAACGGAGCCATTTCCTCTTATTTTACACAAATTATATTTGCTTACCAGATTTGCGTTTCTTCCTCTGCCTGCTTCAGGTCCCACGAGCTGCGCTCGAAGGTGCTGTCCCTTCAGCTCTTGCTGTCGATCCTGCAGAACGCCGGGCCCATCTTTAAAACCAACGAGATGTTTATAAACGCCATCAAACAGTACCTGTGCGTGGCTCTGTCCAAGAATGGCGTCTCCTCCGTGCCTGAGGTCTTCGAGCTTTCACTCTCCATCTTCCTCACGCTGCTCTCCCACTTCAAGACGCACCTCAAGATGCAAATCGAGGTGAGATGGTTCCTTTTCTTCAGTCTCTCATAACTGCTGTATTCTTCTTCAGTCTGTCTACATTGTTGCCTGCTGTCTCCCTGCAGGTGTTCTTCAAAGAGATTTTCCTGTATATTCTTGAGACGTCCACAAGCTCCTACGACCACAAGTGGATGGTCATACAGACCCTCACCAGAATATGTGCAGGTTGGTGCTCTGATGAAAAAAACTGAAACGCTTTCAATAACTTTGGTCGGTGATGCAAGTGTTTAAAGCTTTATATAGTTATTTATTCATGTGTGGCTGATTTAATAAAAGCAGTCGTCCCAAACAAGTCTTTTTCGATCTTTCAGATGCCCAGAGTGTGGTGGACATCTATGTGAACTATGATTGTGACTTGAATGCTGCTAACATTTTTGAACGTTTAGTCAACGACCTCTCAAAGATCGCACAGGGCCGAGGAGGCCACGAGCTCGGCACAACGCCTCAACAGGTGAGCTTTAATTGTCTGGCTCTTAATCCTACAGCTGCTTTTACCAGTTAAGAATTCCTCCGTTCGTTTTTCTAGGAGCTGACGCTGAGGAAGAAAGGCCTTGAATGTCTGGTGTCCATCCTGAAATGTATGGTGGAGTGGAGCAAAGACCAGTACGTCAACCCAAACTCCCAGACCAGCCTCGGTGAGTCGCTGAAGGATGGAAGGAACAAAAAAAAAAACTTAATTTATTGCAGTCTTTTCCTTCACACTGTGCGGCAGTGGATTTTGGATAATCAGCATAAAAACAAAGTTATGAAGGGAGAAGATGATGAGCCGAGTTTTAGCTGCAGTGTGGAGCCGGGGTGAGACGTTCTGCCAGCTGGGCAGAGCCCAGAAGCTGATTCAGGACTCGGAGTTGAGTCTGTTCCTTATTCTGGTCTGGAAGCTGTCCTGGCTGCTCCTGGGAGGCTAAGAGACCGGCTGCTCTGCAGTTACAGCAGCTGATAAGGGATTAAGTGTTTCTTCTGGAAAAAGATGGCTGGGTGGGCAAACGTATTAATTCCTGGAGAGGATTTTTGAAGAAAAGTTTGGATCCAGCTGATCCCAGTCACTGTAGCTTTTCTTCTGTCACATGTGGCTTGGAATCATTTTACATCTCAGACAAAGACGGTTTTTTTGCTGTAATTGTTCAGATTTAATGATTTCTGTAAGCAGACTTCCTTGTAATCTATCTGGTTTGGTCTCCGTTTCTCTCTGAGGTTATTTACTGCTGTTTGTGATGAGGTTTGTACCAATGTGTATGGTGGCACTCAGTTGACCGAAGAATCTGCAGCTCCAAGAAGAAAAGCGAGCAATCATCTGTTCAGTTCCAGACTGAAGAAGCGGTGAGATAATGCCTGAGAGCATAGAAGCTAATCCAGGAGATTTACCCCACCCCCCACCCCCACCCAGCCAAGGAAAAATAGCAATACCTTACACTTAAATGTGATGAAACACCAATCTGTGACATGTGGAGCACATCCTTTGTGTGAGACCAGCCCACGGGGTCTTATGCTCAACGGAGGATTTCTGTTAGCTGAAGGAGGAGCTCAAACTGGGATGAAGTGCAACTTTGTGAAAAGACTGGAAAGATATCCCATAAGCCCCTGGGACAACCCACAGGCCAGCCTTAGGCTAAGCTGTCAGAGATATCCAGCAGAGGCAGCTCTGTTGGCTGCTGGGGACATGATTCTGCCAAAACTCCTAACAGCTCATTAGTATCCAGGCAGCAGCTCATATGTGAAATTAAAATCTTAAATTTGTGTTGCTGGCTGTCGGGGATTCTCTCTAATACGGTGGGTTTTGCTTAATGAGTTGTGGCTGCAAAGCATTAAAACGTCCAGCGTGTTCTTTAATTGAACTGTAATGTTTTGGGTCCATTTCTTCATTATTTACTTGTTTCATTTTCCTTTTTTTTTTCTGGATGACTTCAAAGCAAGAGCAGGTAATAAATATTAAGACGGTATGAAGTGTTTGGTAGAAACTGTTTGCAAATGTGTAGAAAATGATAGTTTTTAAGCCCGTCATGCCTTTAGTTCTTTTGCTGCATTAGATTGTTCAGTGCCCTGAGATGACTTCTGTTGTGACTTGGTGCTATATAAATAAACTGACTTGAATTGAATTAGCCCTGTGGTCCCCAACCCCCGAGCCGTGGACTGGTACCGGTCCGTGGGCCAATTGGTACTGGGCCGCACAGAAAGAATACATAATGAGTTGAAAAGGAGGCTCCGTGGATGCATTCCCATCAACCTGCCAGCTGTGCTAGAGTGCCTGACCACTGAGATCCTGGAACTGGCAAGAAATGTGGCTTGTGACAGCAGAAGGACCGGGATCGTCCCCCAACACGTGCAGCCAGCTGTCCACATTGACGAGGAGCTCAGCAGGCTGCTGAGAGGAGTGGCCATCGCTCTGGAACGAGTTCAACCCGGCATTCAGCGATCTTGCAGCCTGGGGGGAACCGAGAGGCCAGCTGAGTCTGGTAGACTGATTGGATGGAATCTGCCCCCATTTTCTTCAGATCCGCAGTTGGACGGACCTTTATAAGAGATCCTTCCTGCCTACAGCCATCAGTATCGATAACAACTCTTTAAAGAAACGAGGATAATGAGTTACAACAACATTTAATTTCCCTTTGGGATAAAGTATTTTTTTAATTGAACTGAATTTGAATAACACGTTATTTGCTTTTTATTTAGTATCTGATTCGGAACATTTTATTTTGAAAAAATACCAGATTCTCTCCGTCACATCTGTCTATAACTCGCTCTTGACGCAGGTTGAGACACTTGCCTCGGTCTCACATGGCTACCTTCTTAAAGGGGCTGCTCCCGCCGGTAACACACCTCGGCCTTGCTCTCTGGCCTCTCTCTCCTGGAGATGCCTCACCTCCAGGCAGGATCTCTGACGCCGCCCGCCCCGCATGATGTCTCCTCGGCCGACTCTTGCTCCGGTCGGCCTCCCTCCCTCCAGCAGGCGGCAAAGGGACTTCGACTTTTCCTTCTGCCTGATCCTGGTTCGGACGCAGAGGGGGAGAAGCATCCCGGGTTAAAGTCATGGCAGAATACCCTGAGATCGCCACAACAGCACTAATAATGTTAATAAAGTTGCATAAACAGTGGATTCACATTTATTATTACATTTAGAAAATACAAGTTTTTATGGCGGTCGTATCATTTTGTTTTATTTATCCGCCACACCTTTAAAGATCGGTCCGTGGCGCAAAAAATGTTGGGGGCTGCTGAATTGGACGACTCATATTTGGGGTTTTGTTGCACACCATTATAAACTTTAACCAGAACCATGCCTGGGCTCAATTAACCTGACAGAACCTCAGTGCCTGTTCCATCAGTAGAAACTTTTTAAATTTGTCATTTAACTAATGACAATGCAACTTTTAGTTCAATTTTCTGTCTGTAACCAGCGTTCCTTCACCTTTTTCCACTCAGCTGTTGCGCATCTAACATAGCAATGAGGCTGTCGTGAATGTTTTAGAGTTTCTGATGGGTAATCAGACGCCACAGCTCCACACGGCGAGGGTCACAGTGTGGATTTGCTCCAGCGACAGCAGTAGATTCTTGACTTCTTCATTCACTGTTTGATATTCTACCTCTCTTGGCATTTAAGTTCACATTTTCCCCTTTTTGACCGCCTGGAGTGTTTTAGATAACCGTCCTTTTGTAATATCCTCCCCTTCCTTCCTGTGTTGATCTTGTTCCATTTGAGTAAGTGTGTAGTTGTGTGTGTGTATATTTAACATCACTGCTATCATTGAGAGGACTTCTTTATTTTTTTCTTTCAAAATTAAATTTAACTCCGAGTTCTGCTCTTCAATCTGCTTGTTTTACTTTTAAACCTCCAAGTTAAATTTATGTCAGTCCCCAGTAGTTTCACCTTTATGGTGGTTTCTAGAGCTGTTTTATACATTAACATTTGTTTCCATTTATGTACCATCCTTTGTTAGTTCTACTTTTTGTCTGTTTGATTCTCAGGCCAGGAAAAGCCTTCAGAACAGGAAAGCACGGAGTCCAAGGCCTCCGAAACCATAAACCGCTATGGGAGCATCAATTCTTTGGACTCCACCGCCTCATCTGGAATCGGTAGCTACAGCACGCAGATGTCAGGAACTGATAACCCCGAGCAGTTTGAAGTCCTCAAACAGCAGAAGGAGATCATCGAACAGGGGATCGACCTGTGAGCGCACAAAGATCAGTCGTTTGATTCCTTTAAACCAGACGTGGGCAACTTAAGGCCCGAGGGCCAAAATTGGCCCTTAATCAGGCCCTGCAATATCCTTAGTTAAAAAAAAAATTACAAAAAAGTTTGATTAAAAAACAGCAATTTATCAAGATTTAAGGAAATTTAAATAAACAACTTGCACAAAACTTAAAAAAAAAAAAACATTTTTAAGTCATCGTGTTTCCATAACTAGACTAAACCTTAAAGACTTAAACACAAACATATGTTTTTTTGCATATTTCCACTAACATGTATAACATGTTAAGCTAACGTGTATAGCATGTTAAGCTAGTGTGTATAGCATGTTAAGCTAATGTTTATAACAGGTTAAGCTAACGTGCATAACATGTTAAGCTAGCATGCATAACATGTTAAGGTAACGTGACCAACATGTTAAGATAGTGTGTACATGTTAAGCTATCATGCATAACATGTTAATCTAACGTGTGCGCAACATGTTAATCTAACGTGTGCG